GAGTAGGGCACAACTAGGAGGATGAGACAAAGGAGAGAAAAAGATGAGGAGTAGAGTATGGAAGACAAGATAAGGAGCAGGAGAGTGGCAAAGATGAGAACAGTGCTGTAGGGAGGAGAGAGTAGCAGAGACATATGATTCTATGAAAAGAAGCAAGGAAACTACAAAGAGAAGTTCAGCACAAACAGCCAAGTTCAGTAGGAAAACGGCTGTTTACATCACAGGTGCAGACCCTAGGAGATGAAACAGTGAAGGAATAAGCTGCCTCTAACCACTCTGAACCTGACATTGATGACTCTATTCATTCATTGATTCAGGCTCTTCTTGTTCTCTGACATACTGGAACAGTAGCTTGCTGAGAAAAAAAGAGGGCCAGAAGTAAGCAGATGCAGCGTTGATAAAGAAAGCAGCAGTGTTTCCTAAATTGGAGAATATTTGATGTTGACTGAATCATAATAACCAAGTAGGAGAATAAAGGAATTCTCATAGGCATCCTTTTAGGGGAAGATTCAATAGAAGCTCTTAAAGATGGAAAACAGCTTTAGACGCATGTGAATTTGACATGATTCGAAGGCAGACAGGCTGATAAAGAGAAAAATGAGCAAACACAGCAACATTTTATAAAAATATAGGGAAATGTTGCTTGGCAGGAGAATTCTGACTTCCCCAAAGATTTTGGAATTGTTACTTGCTAACCTGGGTCTTGTACCTGTAACTCATGTACAACTACAAGTGCCATTCACTTCACAGTGAGTTTTAGTTGGACAAGCTCAGCTCTTTGATCATTAGGGGTCTAACTAGCCAAGCACAGCTGAATTTTCACCTAATAAATTCAGAGGCAGTCTTGCAGTTGCCAGTTGGGATAAGTATTTGAGAATTCTGAAATAAAGTGTTTGCTCATTAACTTGTATTAGGCCCCAGTACTGCAATTGATAGCTGCTGCTGCTTGCATGACTGATAGAGCCTATTAGCATGTTCATTAAAAGCATATCAATAGGATGCATCCAAAATTCAAGCAGTGGCATTCAGATAAGGGAAAAAACAAGAGATTCCCCTCCCCCCAAATTCTTTGAAATTTTATCTGAAACAAAAGTCTGCTCCCTTGCTTAACTCTACTGTCTGTTAATCAAAGTAATCACTGTAATTCTTGATAACTTATTTTATGGATAAATTAGCAGCTGATTAAGTGAAACACGTAACTGGTCTGTTCTCAAAACTAGTAGGTCAATAATGGGACATTTAACAACTATCACTCTGGTGCCCTGATACTTGTCAACTGAAGTATTATATTCTCCATGAATCACTTGCTATAGGAAAAATAGTGTCAATGTGATAGATCATCAATACAGGATTATTGTCTCCTGTTTTCTCTTCAAAAACTGTTTTTCATAAACACTTCTCTATTTAGATTCTATTCTCATTGAAGCCAGTGGCAGGTGGAGGGCAATTCTTTTCTGGTATCTGCAGGTTGATCAACTTATGTCTATTTAATGTCCCATATTATCTTAGCTTCCATACTTATAACTATGGTCAAAAATTTTATCAGTGGTCCAATTTGATCATGGTGTGGTCAAAAAGTGTTCCAGCTGGTTTTAAAATTGCAGACCCAGTATTTAAGTATTGTTTGTACTGTGAAAATTGACTGCAGAAGTATTTGAAATTAGCCTTAGTGTGTGATGGGACTGCACATGTGAACCAGCAAAAGGTCTGCTTGAATTCTGCTTACATTAGCTTTTTGTTAGGTTTTTTCCCCCTTCCCTCTATGTGGATATCTGCAAACGTTTTGAGATTGATTTTCAGTGTATTTTGAACATGAGACTGATTTGTTTGGACCAGGACTGAGTCAGACAGTATTGGTGACGAGGTTGTTTATTTGTTTATTTTGAAGCTTCTGTCTTGTTCTCCACAATCTCAGCTTTCACTTTGAACAGGTCACATGAGTATTTGTTCTGTGCTCCTTATTGGTTAACAGGTACAGTATCCCTGCTCTAGAAGCCATCTTCACTTGGTTTCTGAGAGAGAGGGACAGAGAGAGAGAGAGATTGCTTTTCCATTAATTCTCTTTGATCCAGCTGGACAGATCCAGAAAAGAAAAATCTCCTCAGGATCTTTTACTCTGGCAGACAAAGGCCTATTAATCTTACAGAATTACCCCCATAGCTTGGGACAGTTTTTAGTATTTAATATTTTGCCTTATAAAATTTTCAAGCTTGAGTGTTGTGGGTGCTCAGTCACTTTTCATCTAGGTGTGTAAAAATGACTTTAGTACCTCTTGACACCTAATTATGAAGATTTTGGCAAATACCTTTAAGTGGACCATCTATATTGGACACAATAATGTAGGCGATGGGTAACTATTGTTCAACATAACCTCATAATACTTTCTGTGTTTTCCATTTCTGTATTATGCACCCAAGCTTCTACAGGGGGCTTTCATCACTTTTCTTGGAAGACATTTTGTAATAGTTCCATTAAGAAGTTTTGTTGATATGTGCCTGAAATGTTCTTTGCTTAATTTTGTCTCAATATTCCTAGCTGTGTCTCCTGGCATCACCCACAAGAATTACTCCCACCTCCCAACAGACAGTTGTATCCACTCATAGTTATTATTTAACCAAATTTTACATTTTTACAATCCCTTTTAATCTTTCTTCATAAGTCAATCTCTCCAGCACCTTGATCACTTTTTATTGCTCTTCTTTGAAGTCTCCAATTGGTGAGTATCTCTCGTATGGAAGTTTACAGAACTGAAATCCACGTCCTATCTGTGGTTCTTACCAGAGTTGTGCAAAGAGGGATGGACAATAACGTCTCTGATTCAGATTTGCTGTCTGACTAATAATAATACCTAGCTTTTATATACTGTGTTACTTTTTTGGGGGTGCCTTATAGTATTGCATTTCAAATTAATATATATTTTGCCGTCTGCTATCACTCCCTAGGCTCTTTCAACATTCCCAACTGTTTCCCACCCATTAGTATCTTTGCTTTGGGTTTTCTTTCCCCAGATGTAGTCACTCGTGTGTAAACAGGTCTTGGTGATTTACTGCAGTTGTTTTGTCCAGTTGGCTCCATAACATCTTCTTTAGTCAATTGCTATTAGGAACACGGTTTAGATTTTTGCGTGGAAAAGGAATTCTCTTTCTCTATAAGAAAGACTGATCCAAAAGTTCACATTTAACTTAGCAATTACATGCACATCCCCATTAGCTCTTCTCTTGGTAGTTTTCTCCACTATTAAAATTATCTACTTTTAACAGGTAAACAGTTAATGAAAAGTTTTCAGAGTGTAAAACAGAGCATAGGTAATGGATGCCAATGCCACATTTCATGATGTATGTCAACTTCCTTACACAATTTAGGGAAAAGTTCTGCTCCCAAATCCGCAGTGCGAGGAGATGATCCTCAGCTGGCATAAATTGTCATAAGCCCATTTAAGTTACTGGACCTGTGACAATACACAGCAATGAATGATCTGCCCTCAGATCACTATTGTTGATTCTGCACTCGTTCCAAGTGTGGACTACCACTTACGCCCATAGGAATATCGTGCATGACACAAATGCAGAACATACATAAAAAATCTGCCAGGCAATCTGGTGAGTAGAGTTTGGCACTTAAGTTTTAACTAACACTTTCCTCTGTCTACTCTACCTACCTCCTGCATGTTCTTAGCTCTGCACCTCCTCCCAACTGTCCCTAGATTTCTTCTCTTCCACTTTCATCACATTAATCTCTTGCTCATTTGAAAAATGTTGCATAAGCATTTTAAATGCTGTACTATCAATATAGAAGGAATGGTGTACAAGGGCATGCTTGCTCTGTAGTGCCTGCTGATGGCTAGTATGGTGGCTCTGCTGAGGCCTGCCTCAGTTTCCCCTTAACTCCTTAAAGAGTCCACACAGGCCAGATATTCAAAATATTCCCCCTTCTGGGGTCCAATTTATTAAGTCCTATACACAATCTTTCAAAATAGGTTCAGACCTACAGTCTTCACCGCAGTTTCAGCTGGACCCTGCCACTCTTCCCAGAGGGTCCATCCTCTCTTTTAAAGTTCCTTTCTTTTGCCCCAGTCCCAAGCTGGGCACAACCCCTATTCCCTGAAGGTCTGTCTTCCCACCCTCCAGTGCCTCTTGCTTGGAGTTTGGCCGTCTCCACAGGCCTCCTCACTGACTGAGGGGCCTGGAGGAGCCATCCTACTCCCTGCACTGTCTGCAGGCATCTTCTTACAACCTACAGCTGTTTCCCCCTTTATAAGGCCCAGGTACTTTCCCTTAAGCCCTGTTGGGCACCAGGTAGTTCATCCAGGTGCATTGGACCTCACTCCCTCTTAAAGGGGCCAGTCACCCTGTGACAGATGGGTTATACTTGATCTTTGCTTTGAGGGTCAATCTAACTTAGGGTAGGACCTTCTCAGTTACAGGACTCTATGTCTGGAATGTCATCCTTGAGGACATCCACCCATGTTTCTCTCTCCAAGGCTCAACTAAAGGTTTTTCTATGCAGGCTAGTACCTCTGTAACCATTTGGTCTCTCTTTATGTGCCTATTCTTTTGCCCAGCTCCGTTTGAGGGAATGGTTGGTTTTTCTGGGCATTGGGCCCAGTTTTTGTTTCATTTTGACTACAGATGGTACAGTTTCCCAGATCCTATACCCAGAGACAAGCACTTTATAAGTGTTAAAAAATAAAATAAAATCTGTCTCTTGTCTCCAAGTAAGAACCAGGACTTTAAAAACCCTTCTTTTATAGAAACTTCTTTTCTGTGATAGCTACAGTCATTACCAAGTTATCAAAATAAGTTAAATAATTTATAAGAGCTCCATAAAACACTTTAAATTAGCTTCAATGTGCTTGAACAATTACATAAAATAAAGTTCCAGTATCAAACCTGCTCAGCATTAGCGTGGCAGTAAAGGAGCCAGCTTTGGCTTCTACCTCTGGATTTTACAAAGTGATCTTATTTTCAGAATTAAAGAAATAAAGAGTATGGAAAACTTACTGTGTATTCTGGTCCCAGTTTGTCCATTGGTAAGAGAAGGTAAGAGAGGAAAAAAAAAAAGCAGAATAAAATAATGCAAATTATTTTCACTAAATGCAAAGGTATATTAATAATCAAAATCATTGGGTTGAATAAAGTACTGACTTACACTTCACAGTGCAATCCCACTGGAGTCTATGGGACAGCATGGGATACAAGTCAGCATGATATTTAATATACAGTATCTAAAGATCTAATGCAGAAATTTAAAAGGGGAGAAGGTAGCATAGGATGTTTCAGTTTTTACCCATCTATAGTTTCTGCATATTACCCATATTTTTTGGCAATAGCAACTGATGAGAAATAAAAACACCCGGTGGTTAAATAGGAATTGTTCAAATATTTTAACGTCTGCTTCTAGATATGTGGCATGCAGCCTTTAAGGACAGGCAAGACTATCCACAATAAACTTCCAATGTTTTCAGTTTGCTTTGAGTACTTACCTGTGATTGTATATGGGTAATAATTCCAAGCCTTCTCTGTAATGTAAAATATTTTGGGAACAACTGCTCTGGCCCAGCTAGGTAGCTTGCTGCAAAGAAAGGAAATCGCTCATTAGAATATTGATTGACTTGCAAGAATTGTAAGATACTTTCTAATCCTGCTCACAGTTTGACATGTACTAAGCAGGAGCTACTAACACTAAGTCCTCACACAGTAACGTCTGTAAGTTATGTGTCCCTTTAACCCTGCATTGAAATCTCACTTCAGCCAGCTCCTGACCACTGGCCATTGCACTGCCACACATTTATTCATTCTTTTGGGGAAAATAACTTCCCTTTACGCTTCTCTAGCTAAGGAGAAGATTCAAAGTATGGGTCTGTGAATTCACAGCCTTGGTCATGTGAGGAATCAGCACAGGTCATAAGATCCAGTGCTTCAGAGGAGCAGCCGTGTTAGTCTGTGTCTTCAAAAAGAAAAGGAGGACTTGGGGCACCTTAGAGACTAACCAATTTATTGGAGCATAAGCTTTCGTGAGCTGCTCACGAAAGCTTATGCTCCGATACATTTGTTTTCTTTTTGAAGATCCAGTGTGTACTTTACACTATAGTGTTCTTAGCATAAGAAGACAGCCTTTATCAAGGGTAGTGAGCAAGTATAGTAAACTGGCCTAGTCATTCTGATTCTGTTACTTCTGCCTAAGGAGTTTCTTCTTCCATATTCTCTATTGATGCATAAACTCTTGTATTCCATTAACCCCAAATCCTGATTACGAGACAGGATTTTCTGTGTGCTAATAATACTATGTAGCAATTATAAAGAGTTTTATATTCAAATTAACTATCCCTCACTAACACCCTTGTGAAGTTGGTGGGTATGTATTATTATGTCCATTTTGCAAATGGGGAAACTGATCCAAAATGATAAAGAGCCGGAGTTAGAACCGAGGACCTTTGAGTTCTAGCCCAGAGTCTGCCAGGCAATTTACCAATACACTGGCTACAATCCTAGTAGACTAAGAAAACCCTTAGATAACGAGAGAGAGAGAGGGGACATGATTTTTTTGTGGTCAAGAAAAAACCCCTGTAACCATGCGAAAATACCTCTGACACAGTGACAACCCAGTTGGAGTGATGACTTCTATGGGGCTATACCAGGCAAAAACCAGTGCAGCATTCAGTTGTTATCTGTATTATGGCAATGCTTAAGAGCTCACTAGGTGCTGTACAAACACAGAACAAAAAGACAGTCCCTGCCCCAAAAAGCTTACAATTGCTTTTGAATACTCACATGGAAAGATAACAACCATGATTAGGCACTATTCCTGGCAGGCTGAGGTCAATTTTTGGACTAGCGACTCCAATTCGTGAAGCTCAGAGAACCCCGAGTTATTGTGGAGTTGACAAACCTTGGTTTTAAAGGGAAGCACAGTTTATATACATTTGCTGCTCAAGTGTTGCCTTGTGACATCAGCTTTAGCCACCAGAACTGGTGGTGAAAATGATGGGGCACTGGCCACAAGGAGAGAGGCAGAAGTTTGGAGGTGACAAACAGAAATACTCTTCAGGGCTCCATTTAAAATAGTCTTGATCAGACCAGGGGCATTGGAGTCTGAACTGAACCACAGCAAGTAGCTTCTGAACTCAATTATCCAAACATAAGGGGGAAATCAATTAAGTTCAACTGTTTGTGAGTTGGATAATTGAGGGAATTTTCAATACCACCAATGTGTGTCAGGGATAACAGAGGGTTTTGGATAATTAAAGATTGTTCGATCATGATTTTGCTTGACATAAATCTTTGCATTTGTGTGGAAGCCAAAATACAGAAGTTACCACATCTAAACCCACGAGGTTTAATGTAAACCAGAAGTTAAGTGCATTGACTTTTTCGCCTTCACAATGACATTGTCTGAAGGTTTGTTTTTTGCTTACCCACGCTTTTCTTGTGAACAAAGCCCTAAGCGGTGGTTCTTGGAGAACAAATTACATAACAAAATTCATTCTGCACATGGGTGGGAAAAATTAGATGGAACACTGGATGCTATCAGTCTCTCCCAGAAACAGGAAGAAATCTGTTTGTTTGAACTTGATTGCCAGATCTCTGGACAGCGTCTGGAACCCCAGCAGGAATATCAGGGAGGAAGGAACTCCAGGGAGAGGTCCTTTGGTTGGGTTTTATAACTTTCTCACAAAATCTTCACTGTATTTGTTTAGACTTTGCCACTAGGCCACGGAGGAGAGTCTGAGCTCTCCAGAGAATGAAAGTAAGGGAAGGTCTGTATTTTTTTTTTTTTTAAGGAGCTCTACAGCTACAGTCTTGAGTGAACCTTAATCTGATGCAGTTAGGGTATTTATGTATCAGAATGAGTTGTTTAAAAGTGTCCAGTCATGGCTTGAAACCTACATTCCTTGCTCATGCAAAGCACCCATTGCCCCCAGTAGGAGAAAGGACTACAAGAACACGACCTTTAACTGGTTTTCTGCCTCATTTTGACCATCACAGAAGTATCTTATAAACAAATCCTGAACCAAGTGCCACTTCATCTCCATTTCATTTCAGAAGTGGTGGTGCGAGTCCAGGGACATCTCTCTGAAATCCACTTGGAAGAAAACATGGGCCTTGTTGTTGGCTCAGAGAACTGGGTTATGGGATTCTAAATGTAAGTGTACTTTCCATTTGTTCTGATCTCTGGAATACATCAGTATGGTAAAAGCTACTTCCTTTGCCAAAGGCTTGGCCTTCTCCACAGTTTGCTTTATACAATGGAAAACTAAGTGTGACACATTATCACTGCTATTACGAATGCCTCATTTGATTGCTGACTCAACTCCCACTGAAGTCAATGGCAAAATGTCCACTGATTTCAATGGGAAGTTGAATTGGGTGCTTTGGATTTGGCTGCCTCGAGTGCAGCTATAACTTATCCTGCTTAGATTTTAATTTTAGTTCTTCAGCAGAAAACCAGGGCTCTTTTTTCCTGAAACTTCTACAACCAGTTAATTTGTTCTTTGAAAAATTAGCTGCTACATCAAATGCTAAATTTGATACTTGACAGTTATAGAATCATAGAACTGGATGGGACATTGAGAGGTCATCTGGTCCAGTCCCCTGCACTCATGACAGGACTAAGTATTATCTAGACCATTCCTGACAGGTGTTTGTCTAACCTGCTCTTAAAAATCTCCAGTGGTGGAGATTCCACAACCTCCCTAAGCAATTTATTCCAGTGCTTAACCACCCTGACAGTTAGGAAGTTTTTCCTAGTGTCCAGCCTAAACCTCCCTTGCTGCAATTTGAGCCCATTGCTTCTTGTCCTATCCTCAGAGGTTAAGGAGAACAATTTTTTCCCCTCCTCCTTGTAACAACCTTTTGCGTACTTATCAGGGAACTAATTTTGCAGAAGGTCTCCCTTTACTTTCCATAAAAATTCTGCTCAAATAAGTTGGACTCATTTTAGGTAACAGAGATAAAAGAACACTATATGTTTCTATAGCATTCTTTTGTATCTTCAATTCGATCAGCCTAAGCTCTATATTTTGACCTTTTATTTCTTGTATTTCCCAAAAGTCTGGCATTTTGCAATTATTTGATTATGATCACTTGTACCTTTAAAATCCTATTTAGTTGGATTGATTAGTCTTGATCTGAAGTTGTGAGATTTTAATAAATACACTGTACTTGTAGTGGGGTCAGCACCCCATGCACCTCCTCATGGCCAGAGGTGCCTCTGCAGTGCCCTGCTAACAGTTTCTCCCTCACAGGGCTTCTTAAATAAATCCACACTGGCTTTTCTTGTCTATTCACCACCCTTTCTCAGGGCTCTGAGTTTATTCACATAAATAAAACTCAAGGTCCCAAAACACAGGCCATTGGTTTTAACCTCTTGTCAGGTCACTGCCAGGCTTTTTCTGCCTGTAGTCTCAGTAGGGAAACTCCATGCCCCAAATCTTTCTGCTGGAACCTGCTCCCTGTCAGCAGTCTCCAATTCACCCTGCTCCCAGACCTTCCTGGTTGGGACCGTTCCTGCTTTGGCAGGCCTGTACCCAGGGCCTACCTGGCTAGAGCCTCAGGCTTCCAGTTCTGGCTTCCAAACCCCGCGATATCGGGGTCTTCCCTGGAGAACATTCCTGAAGTTTCCTGCATTTCCCCCTTCCCTGCTGCCCTTTATAGGGAATTACCTGATCCAACCCAGGCATGCCTCTTTAGTAATCAGAATTGGCTAGCCCCAAGCCCTCCAGCCCATAAGGGGCAAGCTGCCTTGTTCCACTGCTGTTTATAGTTGTAGTTCTATTTAAATTCAATACGTTTGACTTAAAACACTTATGTTACGGCCCTAGCTGAGCTCCCCTTTGTGGACGCTCACCAGGCTGCTCTTCTGGACCCAAACCTTTGGCTCTCATGAGTTTAAGGGTTATTGAGTCTGACCAGTGTTCAGACACTCCCCTATGTCTGGCTTTTCAGGCACACTCCTGGGGTACAGACTCCAATGCTGGTACCCACTCCTGAGTCATGGGGCCCCATAGCCCCGCTGACTTGCACCCCAAGACCACTGCGGACTTTCCCAGTCTCTGCAGTAGCTCTTGCATATCCCCTCCAGAGCTCCACCCTTGTCAGGACTCTGAATTACTGCTCCACCTTTCAGGGAGTTGGTGACACAGACTTTGCCAAGGCACTTTACATCACATACAAGTTAATCACAGACTGAGCATAAGAGATATACAGATCAATAGAAAACCAACAAACAAACACCCCTCCGCAGTTCTTGACCCCTCCTAAGGGCCCTTTGGCTCTTCATCAGTGTCTTCCAGGGAGGTGGGGATTCTTCTGCATCCCCTCCTGCCCCCTCCTTTTGTCAGCCAATGGATGGCTGGCGAGAGAGAGCAGAATTTGTTCTTTTATAAAATTCTAGTTCCCTCTATCAGGTGATCCCCCGAGTGGCTTCAAGTTCCTTGTCAGGCGATTGGTTGCTTGGTTACAGCCTACTTGAAGTCCAGACTGGGTAAGACTGGTTCCTGTGGACTGCAGTACGTGCATTGTTTGAGGGTGCTTCCATTTGAATGGAAGACCATCCGGATAGACGACCCTTTTTTGCTCTCCATTGTTAGCCCTCTGCTAGATACAAGGATTTTCCCTGATACCACCTGGATGCTTCAGCTGAAAATGGAGGCTGAAGTTGCCAAAGTGAAGACTCAGCAGCACAGTTTAACAATCAAAATGGAGTTCACAAACCAGAATGAAGTTTGCAGATTGACAGACATGTACTAATGCATCAGAACGCAGCATTAGCAGAACTCAGTGAAGGCTTCTGTTGCCCTAAAATGTATTACTGCCTCTCCTGTTGCGGATAACTTACAACACAGCTATCTAATGAGTTAAACAGGAATGATGGCTGTGTAAAACATTCTCAGAGAAACCAGGTGAAACTAGACTAGTTTCCAGCGTTGCAACGAATTTGAGTCTTAGACTAGTTCCATTGCAAAATCACCATAGTTCTCGAATATTTAGAGAAAACCTGCATCTACTTTAGAACACTCAGATCTATTTTAAGCTGAAACCACCCAAAAATCACAGTTGTGCTTGGTAACTTGTGCTCAGAAGTACTATGAAAACAGGTGAAAGTCATCAGTTTTTACTGAGTTCGGAACCCAAAAACTTAAAAGCAAAACTTGGAAGGTACAATGAAACCCCAGAAATGATGCAAAGTGCTGAGTATGTGTTGATTTAGTTGTCAAAGAATACAAGAAAGCTCCAGCTGGAAAACAATGGGTCACATTTAGCAGATTTACACCTTTTGCAATCCCATTGATCTGATGACAACACTGCATCTAGAATGGTAAACTAAACCAGATGTGGTGGGTGGCTAGGAATGAGCAGCTCAAACATTTAGAATGCCAACATAGGGTGAAATCCTTGCCCCCTTAAATTTAATGGGCATTTTTCTGTTGTCTTCAATGCAGCCATGATTTCACCCTAAAAGTGAGGTCCAGGAGATATATTAAGGGCTGGAAGGGAGGGACTGGGCTTGTCAGTAGAAGGAGAGGGAGCAGTGAGTGGGTTCAACGGTTAGGAAAGGGTTTAAGACTCGTTGAATCTGCTCACATTTTCCTATGTACTAGCCATCTTGGACACTGATCCATATATTTTAGAAGTTTTTTGGCCTATAAACAAAACAGTGTTCTGACAATGTCACAAATTACTGAATGCTGAATTACTGAACAGACAACTGCCGGGAAAAGAAAAAAGATCCTTTTATTGCTAACGTACGTAAACTGTTTTTCACCCAAAGCCTCTAATCTAGATTAATGTCAGGTACTTGATAAAAAGCCAGGCCAAGTCAATGTGACTTTGGAATCGTTTACGCTTGAAGATATAGGGTAAAATCCTGACCCCATTAAAGTCAATGGCACGTTTGCCATCGTTCTATCCCAGAGAGCCAGGATTTCACCCATAAAATCTAAGAAATGATATTTCTGAGCAATATATGAATTTGCTCTAGTCCTATATCTGTGACTCACAGAATTGATGATTTGCCCACAGAGCACCATCTTTTATGAATGTAACTCATATACTGGTATTTATGGCAAGGCTTTTCCCCCCCATTATAATGGAAACTACAAACTAAAGTATTTATGGACAGCAGAAGTAGAATAGTCACACCAACAGATCTGCACTGGCCATCAGGCAGCATTCTATTAAGACACTGACACTCTCTCCAGGGCACTTTCCCTTAGTCAAGAAAGATATTGGAATCGTTTTGTTGCAATGGATCAGATATGGTACTTTTTTGACAGAAAAAGATATCTCAAAGAGAATGATCTTTCACCTTCCACAAAAATATGGATCTCATGGGGGACAAGTGAAGGAGACAGAATGGACAGCTACCCTGAAATCTCTAGAGTCTGCATGAAGGTGCAGTGATCTGTCCTCGCTGTTTCTCCTTCCCAGATGGAAGTAAACATCTCACATTCTTTCTCTGAATGGAATGGAGATAAAACTAACCACAAAGGCATATGAATGTATTAGATATGAATCCTCAGGACAGTTTCTGAAAACACGTTATGTCTGTGCACAGCCTTTTGAACACATGTACATGCCAAGCACATTTGTACTAGCACTGATCTCCTAGTCAGTGACAGATATTAAGCTTCTCAGTGGTGAATAAGGCCCTCAGCAGACTTTCTGCACAAGAACAATTATTTGTAGGTGTGGAATATTGCTGGTAATTCTCTTGTTAGGCTGGGGAAAGGTCGGATCTGTCAGGTCATTACACATGCAATGGTGTAATTGCCACAATATTGCTATATCTGCTTCTAAGGATCACAGTGCAGAAAAGCTTAATAAAGAAAATGGGCCTAAGGGAACAGAGAAGAATTAGAAAAGCAGCAACATTCAGTTAGATCGGTAGTAATAAAAAACTGCAGCAGATTAAGGAATATATTTCATACAACAGAAATATATATATAGGTTTTCAAATTAATACTGGGCTTTAAGTCAGTGTGGAAGAACTGACCCCTAACACTTTAATTTCAGCTGCAGAAAAGACACATATTCTGCTTTAGGAAATGACGGGGCTGTTGGGAAACAAAAGCAGTTTTTCTCATCATGTCTTTAAGCCTGTCACTTTGCTGCAGAAGGTCACTGATGTACAATTCTAGTGGTCATTCATAATGTCAGCTCACTTTGCTGAGACAAATCTTTTGTTACCAAAATGGGTCACTGGCCTTGTGCAGTTCTTACAAAGTAGTGCTCAATCTTGCTACATCAGCACCCCAAGGGCTCACTGCTACCCTAAGCAATTCTCCGCTAAGTGTGGGACCAGAGTGACTTTCTGCATGCTACTGATGTTAAACAGAGGAGACATGATTAACCTCTGTGCCATTTCAGACAGGATTAATTTTAATGCACCTATTTGATTTTAACTGAAGATGCTGATTTGGGATTTTAGAAAAAAAATAAATCTACCTTTGATCTAGATTTTGAAAATAAAATAACTTTGCTTTAAAGAAGAACTTCAGTGTGTTAAATTTTTTGCACTTCTATAGCACTTGCCATCAGAGGCTCTCACAGCACATTACAAACATTAATGAATTAATCTTCAAACACCTCTGTGCAGGAGAGAAGAACCATCATTTCCATTTTGCTGTTGGGGATGAAATGGAAGCACACAGCGATTAAGGGCATACACAACCTTAATTAAAGTCCATGGGAGTTACTGGTGCTCCGCGCCTTGGAAAAATCAGACTCTCCTGGACTGTCACAAGATCACACAGCAAGCATGGGATAGAGTGAGGAACAGAACCCAGATCTAGTGACTCACAGTCCATCCGGCACACTACTTTTCTTTTAAACAGATCCCCTTTTTGTTTTATGTATTTTGAAAAATGGGGAAGTGTGAAAGAAAATAGAGAAATGTGCTGATTTTCAACACAATCCTGCCTTCAGGCCACAATTCTTTGCCGTGGAAAATGTGCTCTAAAATAAAAAAGGTCTCTATTTCAAGTGACAGCGCTCTTCCACTGTCCCTTTCCTTGAAGTTGCCAGTAACTGGCCTGTAGTCAATAGAACACATTACATTTGAAACACAAAGGGTATTTCCTGAGAGAGATGTTACACCCTACAAATCTTCAACACTGTGCATGACTGGAGGTTACAGCGGCATGCTGTTCAGGGAAACAGCTGCTTAGTACTTGCCTGTTGAGATAGACCCGTTTTTCTGTTAGCTGACCATTGCCATGATTTGGATCTTCATAGGGTTCATTCTGCACAACTTCCACACCCTCCCCTCGGTCACTCTGCTCATGGCTATGCTTACTGATCATGTACAGCTGTCCAATTCTGTACTGCAAAACAAAAACAGGAGCAAATGTATTAGCCATATACAATGCATGAGTATCCACAAGCCAAATGTCAAAGGGTTATGCAGAAAAATTTGCAATTTAAAGGTAGTGAGGGGAGGGGGAATCACTGCATTGAGAACTGCCAGAATGATCATAATAAACACTACTACTAATAAATAAATTACTAAATAATAGTGGTACATCAATAGTGTCTTCTACCCAGGGAACCTCAAAGTACTTTACCAAGATCAGTCGCGTGGTACATGATCATTGTTACATAGGTAAATTACATTATGGGAACCTTAAAAACTTAAAAACCATCGGTGGGGGTGATATGGATCAGAATAAAAGCCTCAGTGTTCTGGAAAGACGGAAATTTCTGGATTGGCAAGGAGTCATGAAGAAGTTGGTGAAGGAGACTTCTTTGAAAGCCCTTGGCATACCTCTTTAAGGATTTGTAGCTATAGAGCTAGGTCCTCAGCTGGTGTAAATCAAGGTAGCTCCACTGAAGTTAAATGAGTTATGCCAATTCACAGCAGCAGGCCCCTAAATTACTACTTGCGTCCAAACCATCAGGGCACCTCACTGTCATAAGGGGACTGATTTTCTTCTTCTAAACCAGATACCAAAAGGCAAGCAGTATCCCAAAGAGACTCCCAAGTTTTTTGCTTATACATGGAGAGATATGCAAGGCACCCCTTTTAAACAGGACTAGACAACTGTGATTGTAGAGGTGCCAGGAATGGCAGCCTGGTAAAAAATTATACGGACACATACATGTACCCAGCAGGAAATAATGACCTAGCCACGATCAGCTGTGACCATAAGACATCCAACAGCTTCATGATGGTCTGTGTGAAGCAAGCTGGTGGTTTCTGCCCCATTTCTAGTGGATACATGGCCACATCACAATACCGCCACCACAGCTGACACCCTTATTAGACTCCTCAGAAAAGCCAAGAACTAAATGCGTCCTGATGACTGGCCTCCACTTCTTCTGCTAGAGGTTCTTGAAGGTCAGTCGTCAGGCACTCTGGACAGTCAGTTTGGGGAAGGCTGCACTGCCTCCCTGCCCCTGGTCTATGACTGCATCAAGGGCTTTATTATTCACGTTTGTCAATCCAGCACTTTCTACCAGCACCAGAAATTCACTAAAGTAGGTTAAGAACTCATTGATTTTCTTGAATTAAAAGGTATTTTTTTCTATTAACCTCTAAACGGTATTTTCTGTGCAAGTTTCATGATTCTGCTCTGAGTTTTAAAAGAATGTCTTGCATAACTGACAGATTCATTCTTATTTCACTGAGTTCTATAATTTTTTTTTATTTAGTTTCCCTCATTTTTTTCTGTCTCTGTATTTGTACATTTTGGAGCATAAGAGAATAGTTAAGAACCAACAGCTCCCTCTTGACTTTATTGTTTAATGGATTTTTTTTTTTAACTTGAAAAGGTCTTTTTCTAGGGTAGCTGTGATGGGAGGACTAATCCCCAATAAGAAACACATCAGACATCTGACAAAGAATTCCAGTGTATTTTGAAAGACAGATTTATAAATGATCTTTGTGCCAGGTTGTTAATACATGAACTGAGGTGCTTTCATTACTAACAGTTAAGTGCTACATTACGTGTCTCATATACTCAAGTGCTAAATAGCAGGGCTGATGTTTAGTACTTGTGTACAAACTATTCTATTATTATTTCAAACAGTGCCTACCACGGTCCACCGAGATATCAGTTTCTGAGACACTACGCACAATAGAAATTACATTACTGTGCAGTATTGGAGGTATTAACTCTGTTCCCCTGATTACTTTCTGTCATGGAGAACTGCAAATTAAAGATCTGATCCTGCTCCTATGGGAATTAGCGGGACTTCAGCCTTTTATTTCAACAGGGGCAGAACTGGGTCCTGAGAACAATTTCAAACAGCAGCCAAGAGAGAGGAGGAAGGAAGATGCTAACACTGCAGTTCTGGGGGAAGCCTTGATGGAGGCTTTCCAAGTACAAGCTGTACTAAATTTAAAATGTATGGATTCAGAAATGTCTGGCAGTCATGTGTATGTGCAATATTCCCTAGGTGAAGATAGGACTTAGTGCCTCCTTTACTCTGTATCCTTCACTCTCTGCTGCCTCTCTTGCACCTGTCAAGCCAGGTCAGCATGCCTCCTATCTTCCTGTTTTCGAAAAGGATGGAACTTCCACCCACCTATATAATTTCTTCCTTCCCAAACACAATCCCAGTTTCTGTTCCGTGGTCGCAGTGTCGCTTGATGCTGCAGTGCTTTAAAAATGTGTTTCCCTAACGGTGGGTCCCAACCCACCAATGGGTCGCAGGAAGGTTTTAGATGGGTCATCACATCTGGGACTGGACTAACCTGTCATTGGACCCTGATGGAGGGGTGCATGGGCCAAACCTGAGTGGTGAAGCAACCCTGGGTACCAGGTTGCAATGCCTGGGGCGGGGAGCTGGACCCAGCCTCATGGGACAGGAACCACTGCTGAACAAGTACAGGGTGGGCTTGTTCTTCAACCCTGCTCCTCACCTCAGAGCCTCCCCTCTGCACTGGGCTGGGATTAGGGTGGAGGCCAGGGCAGAGTGTGAATATATGTAATGCGGGGGAATCTCAAAAAAAGACAAAATGCAGTTGGTAGGTCACCTTAGTAAAAAAAAATTGGGAACCACTGCTTTAAAGGAGCTGCTGTGGCAATCACAGTAAAGGATTCTGGAGTATATGACTGAGCAGAAACAGGGAGATCCTTTAGGAAGGCTGAGACGGGGTTTGTCACCAGGAGAGAACAGTTTATTATAATAAAAATACCTAGCTTTTATATAATATTTTATCAATTTAGAACTGTCCCGTTGCAGAATAACCTTGTTATTCCTATACAGTGTCCCCTTACAAGTAGCACACTAAGCATCTGCCTACTTAGCCTATGTCTAAGGCCTTCTTGAAGAGAAGTCATAAAGGCGCTTAGCAGTGATGCAGAGGAAGTAAGACGACCAGCTTCTTGCCTGTGTGGCCTCTTATAGGCTGCTCAAGTGCACAGGCAGCCAGTCCCAGTCCCCATTATCTCACTGAGGTGCCCCTTGTAAAGAGGAGCCAACCCACTAGCTAGGTGTGTGGTCCCAGGGTTTAGCCTCTGTCCTACAAAGCCCCCAGCCCTGAAAACGTGCCCGGTTGGAATGGTAGAGGTGTCTTTCTTTGGCACCATGCGAGAAGCATTTTGTGTTTGAAAATTTTCAGGTGGGTTTAGCGCTGGTGAAAGGAGCCAGATTTACAGGCTTGGCGGTTGACGTCTTTGGTTTGTCCCCAGAACAAGCCTGGGCAGAGGCAGCAGCAGTGCACGCTTCTTCACACTACCCTGGCACTGTACCTTAAACCTGACCTGTGAGGACTACTCCTATGAGTCAGAGGCTATTCATGGGTGAATCAGACACTGGCTTCTCTACTGAGACTGGCAAGAAAGTTGCTAATTTTGATGGTGTGGACACTTACATTGGAAGCTGGGTGGCCACCCACCGAACACATTTCCCACTCAACACCACCCAACCATCAGATAGCAGCAGGGCCAGATTTAGGGGCAGGCAACCCAGGCGACCACCCGGGGTGCTATTTTTTGTTGTTAGCAACAAAAAGGGAAAATAAAATGTCTGAAGTAACATGTTTCAGGTATTCCATATGGGGATTCATTTTTCACTAACCTCCTAGAATGTTCTGGACCTCTGTAGAATCTCATGGAACATTCCAGACTTTCTGAGAACTACATTTTCCTCAACCCTCCTAAAATGTTGTCAACCATAGCCTGTATAATGGGCAGGGCATCACCAGGCAGTCAGTGAGATATAAGAATGAACTGAACTGAAGTGAAAGCCCAGCTGCAATATTGTGAATCTTATTTTATTGTGTAATTGTGAAAGTGTACTTGTGTTTTAAGACTTGAAGAGTGTAAGCAGTGACTTAGAAAGGACATATTTAATGAGATGCCAGAGATATCTATGGAACTCCTATTTATGCAACAATATAAAAGGAACACTGTGACATGTTAAGCATGGCAAAAGAAGTAACATTTGATGACTTTCTAAGACTGCGAAACATACTATTAGGGAGAGCAAAAGCCTATCTGTTTTCCTCTATGAAAATAAAAGATGCCCTAACAGAAGCCTTCAGCAGCTCAGTATAGAAAGCAAAAAGCTCAACTGCAATCTAATTTGCAGCGAGGGGCTAATCTGATGAGAAAATATCTGAAACAGAATAACAACAGACCTTTTGAACTAAAGGACTAGGGTTTACATTCTAAGGCTGTCACCTACCATAACACTATTTACTACTGGTCCACCCAATGTTGGTGCACAGCTCGATTTCTTGATGTTAGTACATTTCAGTTATTCTTAAAATTAAAAAGTTTACATAAGCTTAGAGGAAACAACTTTTTTATTTGCTTGAATAAATAGAGATTTATAAATCCTAGCATGCAAATTTATCATCTTATATGACAGGGATAAATCATGCATGCAAACTGTGCATCTGATTCATGAAATGGACTACAAATGCAATTAAAATAAGATACTCAAAAATTTAACAAATGAAGGGGGTGGGGGCTCCAAAGATGCTGCTTGCCTGGTATGCCATTTGGTCGAGTGCTGGCCACGGAGAGTAGTAATTTCTGGTCATATCTCACCTGAGTCGGTGATCCATAGGTGAAAGTTTCTATAAACCATTATTGATTCTCCAAGCTATCCTATCTGACCCTGAGAAACTTTCTTCATTTATACAGTACTCTGTACTATTAACTTTACATATTTTGATGCTTCTGAAAGTAAAGAAAGGCTTTTCCTTGGTACAGGGTGTCAAAGTTCCTCCCCCACTCTGAACTCTAGGGTACAGATGTGGGGACCTGCATGAAAAACCTCCTAAGCTTATCTTTACCAGCTTAGGTCAAAACTTCCCCAAGGTACAAAATATTCCACCCGTTGTCCTTGGACTGGCCGCTACCACCACCAA